CTGCCTGCCAGGGGCCCGAGGCTGGGGAGGGCCCCACAAAGCCCCCCTTGTGGAGTGGTGCCACGACCCTGGCTCAGCAGATGGCTGTCTGGCTCTTTGTCGTCATGGCACTCTATGGGCTCATCAACCTGGCCAACGACTTCCCCAATCTGCCGCTGTGCAAGGTGAGGGGGACCCCGGTACCCTCCCAAAATCAGGATGCACAGTGCTAGGAATATTACGGTACCCCTTCCTCCCTACTTGCTACCAGCCAGTGCCAGAGAGGGCAGGAGGTCCAGTCTTGGGGGTGCACCATTAGGTGTATTATGGTACCACCCCAGTGGGGGACATTATTAGGAGCATTACAGCACAGACCTTGTAGGGCCTATTTTGGAGGGTGTTTTGTTAGGAATATTATAATGCCACCCTGGTAATGACAAGCAAAGATCAGATTCCAGTTTTGACAGGCACATTTTTGGGAGTATTACAGTACCAAACCAAGTCTTGCTATGATGCCAGTTAGAGGTATTACAGTAGCAAGCAAAATCCTGTTAGGATGAGGTTTAGTAGCAGCATTACGGTAGGACCCCAGGCCCTAGTCAAAGGGGTGCAACATTAGCAGCATTACGGTAAGACAAAGAGTCCAGTGAAGAAGAGAGCGCTATGTACCGTATTGCTGCCCCATGACAAGGAAGAGCAGGCTCCTATTCGGGGATGCGCATTCTTAGCAGCAATACGGTGGCAAGGGGCCGGACTTGCCCCCAGCTGGTAGCAAGGCAGGAGAGATTATGCGGTGCGTGGGGTTAGGGGAGTTACGGTACCAGCCAAGTGGTGGTGGGGGGGGCGGGGGGGTTTGCCCCAGCCCCGGTTAACCCCTGCAAGCCCGGACGCGCCATGCCCTCCCTGCATCGGGGATGCGCATTCTTAGCAGCAATACGGTGGCAAGGGGCCGGACTTGCCCCCAGCTGGTAGCAAGGCAGGAGAGATTATGCGGTGCGTGGGGTTAGGGGAGTTACGGTACCAGCCAAGTGGTGGTGGGGGGGGCGGGGGGGTTTGCCCCAGCCCCGGTTAACCCCTGCAAGCCCGGACGCGCCATGCCCTCCCTGCATGGGGGAGCGAAAGTGAGGCAGGGCGGACCCCGCGCTCGGGCCGGGAGGGAAGCCAGGGCTCCGGGGCCCGTGCTCT